ATTTGTTTCGTAGCCGGCCCGGATTTGTTTTTAGTTATTTTTGACTGCTGAGTTGAACTTTGCCTTATTATATAATTTTATTTTCACCAACTATTTGAGTCTTTGGTAGGGTAGTTGTAAATATACTCTGCCTATCACACGGGTGACCCGCGTTCGATTGCCCGCTGGGTACTATAATTTCTATTTTAATAATTTCGCCAGGGATGATTGTTCAATCCTTTGCTATACATTGTTTAATAAAATGTGCAGCCTACTGGATGTCCGCATTATTTATGCATTTTACCTTATTGTTAAGAGTGCACTGTCTAAGTCTCAAAAGGCCTTTCTTGTTTTTCTTTACAGTTACTGCAGTGGGTAAGTTTAATTCACTCTCGCAATGTGTTGTTGACATTTATCTGCAATGTGTCATTGACAATAAATGTACGTCATTCTTTCAATTAACACGTGTCAACTTTTTCGCCACCAAAAACCCGTACGTTTTTTTTTTTAAAGAACTTATCTTGACTTTCAGGTCGACCCAGCCTTAAGAATACACAGGGCAATGACATGTGAAATAAAAGCTGTGGCTAGATTTTGGGCACATCACCCATCAAGTGTCGACTGGACTATAAAAAAATGGTTCTATTATCCTGAGTTTTTGGTTAAAAAGAGGTCTACTATCGCTTAAATTAGGCAGGTTTGGTCACAGCAATTATTAGATTTAAAACAATTTAGACTTATGGAGTAAAATTACTCATATATATATATATATATATATATATATATATATATATATATATATATATATATATATATATATATATATATATATATATATATATATATATATATATAACAAAACATGCATGTGTTTCTGAGGCTGTCACAAGAACTCCTGTTAACAGGTACCAACAGATGAGCAGTATCAAGGGGGAAATTTGACCTTGTCATTCTAAATACCCGTCTAGATTAACTGTGCTGTTGTCAACGAATTTGCTGCGTCCCTTTAATAATAAGTTTGAAAAAAAATTTCACTGTTACATCCCTTTTAACTTGAAGTCTGGACATTGGCTCGTTTTATTTTAGTCATGGGAGCCGCAGTAAGGAAGTGGCTAGACCAGCTTATTTATTTATTTTTTTTTTTTCTGAATAGGTATTACTACCCTTGGGGGCCCTGGAGCGGTTGGTATGGGCTGAAGCTTTTAAGTCTTAGTTGTGGGGAGCGGATTGGCTTAGTGGTGGTAAGAGCTTCAGATGTAGTCAGTAGCGGTGAATAAACATAAGACTGTAGTGAAGACCACCCCCCCCCCCCCCCCACCCACCCCATTAAAAAAAAAGAAGATCTGAAATATTCTTTTAAACTTTTTTTTTTGGGGGGGGGGGGTAAAACCAGGCAATATCATCTAGTATATGTGTGTATAGGAGGTGGGGGGTGAAAAAAAAAGGGAGGGGGTGTAAAACAGATAAAAAATCTCAATAGTTATAATCCTAAACAGACACACTGAAAGTAAGATATCCACACTTATGCTTTCTATATGTTATTCTAAATGTTTCTTCTAACTTACGTCTTCTTTAACATGTGTCCGTGAATGATGAGCAGCCTGTTACCACGATGGGTTCGACTAGGTCTTTCATAAAGTTCATACAATCTACCTGAACTATGATTCTCACATTTTATTCAGCTTTCATCGTTGTCACGTAAGCACAACACAATTTGAAATGTAATTTCCTGCTATTGTCTTTGGAGCCGATTTAAAAGATATATCCCCATTATCTTCTTGGTTTTGGATTGAAACTTGGGCCTACAATCCCTCATCCGAAAACTTTCATTTTGACACAAAACATGTCTAAGCATCGATTTCGGATGTATTTCATAACTTCCAATGATAATGACGTGCTCATTATTTCTTACATACATTCACGTGATCTCTTCAATTTCTTCCACAGTTGTCCCAGCTGATGTCAGTAAGTATTTGTGATTTTTCGCCACAACAAAACACATACCAGTATCAACTTTAGTTGTTTTCATTACACAAATGAAAAATATCCAAATAAAATAACGAACTCACATATAGGAAAAACAGTGTAAACATTAATTAATAATACAACAGAAAAAGTGCTCTGCAAAGGAGGGTTTCGACAATGGAAAGGAAAGAATCAATCAGTCAGCAGGTCCGTTACAAAATGTCGCTTTTTCACAGCACGCGTGAAAGTCTCTTCCTCTAGCAATTTGTCCTATGTCCTATACCCACATTGGACCCTCCTCAATTGCTATTCTCTCCAGACCATCAGAACTATTGACGTGCCCTTAATAATTCAGCTTTCGGGAGACGATGCTGTTTATAAGCCAGACAAAAATACACGTTCTCAAAAAAGTTAAGATATTAGATATATACTTCTCGTCTTTTTAGGACGAAATTTTTCGTTAATTGAAACCCTACTCCGGCTTTTGCCGGGGGCCGCAATATAGCCTGGCCATAAATATGGCCTAAAGGCTGAATGCGGTTTCTGGGACCTCTCCACGGTGATCCTCGCCCATATGGTGGCACATTGTGTCATCGAGTGTTTATCGCTTGTGTGATATCCTGGTGGGGTAGAAAGTCAGTCAGTCAGTCAAAAAGTAAAGATCACGTGTAAGAACGGTGTAATTGTAGACATCCCGATGGAGATGGAAAGTGACATGTTTCCATTTTATACTAAATGATGAAACTAGAATATGGATGTTAGTACATATTACAATAAATTGTTTCAGGCTTTTTCTTTCTCATGTCAACCTCATTTTAGGCTAATTTCTCAACCGTTAACGTTTTCTGTGTAGAAGTAAAATGACCCTTTTCCACGCCTTAATGAGTATTGGGCATATAGGGCTAAAACTATATTTTATAAACCGAGCTGCCATGAGAGTCTCCAGAATGGGCCTTAAGAGTGATAAAGTCAGTTGACGTGGCGTTACTAGTCAGTCAGTCAAACGATACGAACATAAACAGCTTGCGGTGAGACAGTCGATGTCTTAGCAAAGAAGTGCCCATACGTCCCGCTTGCACTCTAGGGAAAAGTTTGAGAATAGAACGTGTATTTAGGTATACACACATTTGCAACTTAAAAAAGTAAATATATGGACCTACATTACAAACATTAGAGAAACAGAAACTACTTACATTTAAGCTGCTGAATATCAAGTATTATCTACACAATCCACGTAAAATTTGGAATAATGTCCAATAATACTTCAAGTGTTTCAATATTCACATATGTGTATGTATGAAAGTAACCACTCAGCCTATCACCTAAAGTATACAATAATTTAATATGCTGAAAATGTGTGAACGAATGTCGCCAGCTTTTTTTTTTTAGACGATTTAACCAGAGATGGCAGAGCAGCTGTGGAAACATTGTTTGCTTTAGATCAACACTTTCCACAGACACCAGCCATCTCATCATTGAAAGAAAAAAAAAACCTGAAAACTGCATAAAACATGAAACTGCATAAGCAATTCTTTTGTGATGTTTGCAGGCAAAAATGTTGTTTCTAACCCAGCTGATTATAAGCTTCTGTATAGCTGTAAATGCTACACAAGTCATAAACTTAGAAACTTTGAAGGGTATTTCAAACCTTCACAGTCAAGCAGTTGTATCTAGTCTGTGGAAATTGCACATGAGTCAACGTCGTATGCTAATGACCTGTCCATCTGCAGCAACGCCTTGCATGTAGCACACTGAATTTTTGTGTTCAGCCTACTAGAGATAAATCCAGCAATATACGCCACTGACTCTTCTGAACCTTTCGAAAATAATTAACAGTCATTTGGGTTTATGTGAGGGAAACAAACATTGTTTACATAAGACCGAACAGAATTAATTTAGGTGCCAGTTTTGACATTATTTCGCTTACTATAATTCAGTTCCTTTCAATGAGAACAAATATTGCAGCTCTATTAGTGTCCCAAACATTTTGCATTTGCCGGTTATTAAGGGATTTACAAATGTCCGGTGTGAGTCCTTCTGGTTGATCCAGTTCCTTAATCCAAGTGCATTTTAACAAGTGCACAGAATCTTGCAGTAAAATACTGTTGTACAATGACACGAGGAAAGCCTAAACTAATGTAGCTGCTTCTTTTTATATTGTCTTTAATGCCAAAAATTATCCCCCCCCCCCCCCCCCCGTTACCACCGAGGAAGTAATTGTAGATTTAACATACATCTTTGCGAGCTCAGTCAGTTCGTCTTGTTTCAATGTCAAGCGCTGTAAGATGCTGCTTGTATGACAATGGCAACTGTGAACGTAACATTTGAAGTGTCCCTTGGTGGGGTAGGTACAAACACAAGATTTTCCTATAAACCGATATCATGCTAGACGAACAGCATAAAAGCAAAGCATGGTGTGCTACAAATATAACGCCTTCTGTTATACAACAGCCGATGTCAAAAGTGTAAATAGAAACACACGTGAACATCGCAGTTCCACTGTTTGCTTCTCTCAGAAAAACTACACACCTATTGTTAGGCTACGCTTTCCGGCTGAACAGAACTGTTGAAGACGGTCACAGGTCAGCACTGGGTGGTTGATATGGTCAGCCTAACGCCGGCCACCTATCATTCACAAGACTGTACCTGGTACCCATCCATCGCTGGGTCGAGCATACCCCGTCAGACCCGAATCCATGACCTTCCGATCCGCAGGCGAGCATCTACCAGCTACACCATTGCGTCTCTCACCTTTTCTATGGTGGATTTTCTATGCATTTACTCATAGTTACATTAACACATGCAGCCGTCGGTGCACATCTCAGTGTTTTACTTTATTCTCTGTCTAAAACATTTTAACTTTACTCAGAGAAACCACATTACTGCTTTGTCTTTCTTCATCCCAACTTTATTACTCACTGTCAAATACTCGCATCGATAAATAAGAACCCACCATAATAATCTTCTAGTACGCTGATTTGCTTGCTTTCATCATGTGTGGTTTTGTATTTATAAAAACCTACTTGTGATACATAAAATGTGTCTGTTTTCCACAGACGTCACGTGCAATGTCACACAGAAAGCAGACATACTGTTTATCTTGGATGCATCTGGAAGTATTGGAACTGCAAATTTTTCTGTGATGCTAAATTTTTTAGTGGATATCACACGCAACTTCAACCTTGGACCCGATGGAATACAGTTTGCTTCTATTGTCTTTGGAACAGATGCACAGGAAGTGTTTGATTTCACAACCTATAACAATCAGGCAAATTTAGAGAGGGTAGGTGTTATCTTCAAAACACTCATTTCAACATGTGACATGTCAGCTATTGGATAGGAGCAATGGCATTTTGGTGAAGAAGTACAGAAACAATTGCCACACAAATCTTGCGATGTGTTAGATAGATTATTGTGTTGATGGCATAGATGAACATTTATTTTACTTCTTTTATAATTGCCATGGAAACATAGTGGTAACATGTTTACATAATCTTTGGTTTTAAACAGCAACGAGGAATATTTCCATAACTGACCTATACTCTCATGTCTATCGATCTTAAAATTGGAACAGGGTCAAAATCCAATGAAATAAAAGCTGCGAGGTGTATTGACAACATCGAATGCGACTGATCTACACAATTTGGGTCACTAATTTAGATATTTTCGTAAATACTCTCAATGAATATTGACCAATTTTTTTTAATTATTATTTTTCCTTTAAAAAAAAAGTTTGTATTTTGAGCATAGTGCACGAATATTGTAGTTTTTTAATTACTTCTAAATGTAACATCTTCAGATGTCGAATGAAACTGTTGTGTACAAATCTCGAAAACAGTATTCTCCTGAGGATGAACTGGAATCATGAAGTATGCATAGGATAGTGGCATTGCAACCTATATGTTTGTTGTAAAAGTCGACTAAGAAAGATCGGAGTGAGACAAATAACGTTGTCCGACAGACAATGGACATCTCAATAAAAATTAAAAAAAAGAGAAAAAACTAATTCAAACGCTTGAAATTGGCTTGTTTTTCTGTTAGACGAACTACGACTTGAGGTTAAGATAGTTGTTATGAGTCTGTGATGGTTTTTTTAAACTTTCTTACAGACAGGAAACTCTCCAGACCATATATAAGTGTGTGTATGAATGGTGGGGGAGGGGAGAGGGGTCAGATATCAGCAAATGATAGTATGACTGGGCGATGAGCTGGCTAAGGCTTTATATTCTAATATCACATAACAGACAGTGTGTATGTGTTGTGTCATTTAAAAGAAAAAGTAAGATTTATTAATAATGCAGTAGCGTTTTTAGTTTACTTAGAACACAGTACTTCATAATATAACATATTGCTTGTGCATATGGAATCATTTCTGTACAACAACAAAATTATTCCGGTTAAATTAAAATTGCTTCATTTAACCGGTGCAGAATCATACATGAATTGAAATTTAAATATCATGCACAGGATTCATATATTTGGTTTCATAGATGCAGTAACACGTTTTCAATGCTTGCAGGGAATTCTCAGTACGCCCTACATAGAAGGCTGGACCTACACGGACAAAGCTTTACGTCTGGCCAGGGAACAAATGTTTTCAAGAGCCAAAGGATCTCGACCAGATGTTCAGAAAATAGCAATAGTTTTCACAGATGGTCAGTCAAATAATAAAACAGCAACACAAGAACAGTCTACACTGCTAAAAAACTCTGGCGTGCTAGTTCTGTCTGTTGGTATAGGAAGCGGAGTGGATCAAGCTGAACTCCAAACTATTGCCTCGGTGCCCGGTGACGTGTTTGAGGTCTCAGACTTTAACGTTCTCAACACCATACAGAAGGAGGTCACCAACAGAACTTGTCAACAAGGTAACAAATCGGCAGTTCTGAAATAGTCTTTGGGGGCATGTATCTATTCCCCCCCCCCACCTCCCCCCCCCCCCAATCCGCACTTATCAATCCAATGTAGAATTGAGCCCCGAACTGGATAACTGAACCCCGAAACCACATGGGGAAAACATAGACGTATGTTAACTATCAAAATGTTCTATTTAAAAAACAACTGTTGAGTAAAATGATCGGCGCAATATTTACCATATCGGTCATTGAGTACAAATAATTGGTCGATAAGAGGATGCAAAAAAAAAAAGACATTGCATAAATGGGCCTTTTTTTTAAACTTAAAATTTGCAAGTTTCTAAGAGAATTGTGCGGTGAGGAGTGACTAGGAAAACTGGCTGACACCCAACGCTCACGGAAAAGGCGAGACGGACATGTAATAGAACAGTTTCTGGGGCTATGAGAATTGGAACTCTTCGCTTGCTGCTGAAGATAAGGAAGAAGAGCTTATGGGAATGTCCCAATTGTTATAATGTCAGTGCTTGACCTAACTCCTCTTATTTCATCTATGTATTTCCGACATACATGTTTAAGGCATGAAATACTTCAATTGTTTTTTCTCAATTTATAAATAAATGTTCACGTTTACATGTTTGGTTGTTAGCAACAGTATTGCAACTATATATTATAAATGACCTTCAAACTTGGGCATGGGACTGCG